GCAGTATAATCCTTAAACTTTTGTGACTTTGTCATTCACATATTTTTGATATTAAAACATTTGCACATTTATTTTTGGTCGTTTTGGTCTAAGCTAAAATATTTTCAAGGATTTTTATATATGATATGATATGATATGATGAATTGATGATGCTCATGCCCTGCACAAATGGGCCCGAAGTCCGAAAAGCATGTGGCCCAGAATTCAGTTGGATCAAACAAAAGAGTCTGTGTGGCCCATAAGCAATCTTGATATATGGTCTTCATAAGTGGAAAAGTATTTTGGCGGACCAAAATTCAAATGGATTAAAATCTGCTCTTTACACTCCTACAATCTCACCCTCACACCCCTCATCTACTCGCTAGCCACTCTCCTCATGACACGTGGCACAAAAAATAATCCAAAAACCTCTTTAACAAATGTCCACCAACCCATACCTCCATTTTATCATCATAATTCAGACATGTCTCCTCATCAAAATAGTTTTTGCCACACATTGCTTGATAATAAATTAAATATTGAAAGATAAAAAGATTGATAGTTCCTTTTTTGAAGGAAATGTTACAGTCCCGTTACGGAATCATTCTGTCGGAATTTGTAGCTGTTAGATTATTATATCGTCGTGGATAGTTGATCTAACGGTTACAAATTCCAACGTAATGATTCTGTAACGGGACCGTAGAATCTCTTCCCTTTTATATTATGCTAAATGTTTTTATCAAAGGACATGCACAACATAACTTGCTTTTACATTTAAGAGAATACTCTTGATAGTTGAAACAAAGACCATTTGGTTTCATTTTGTTTTTCCCATAGTGGACTTCAAATGAAATAAATCTCAAGCTCACATATTTAGTTCAAAAATTACCACCTCTATTGTCCAAAAACAAGGGCTTTCGTAGAAACGCAAATACGATTCTATCAGTGTTAGCAGTGCTCAAACGGGCACACATAAGTGTTTATGATCCTGACAAATAAAAAATAAAAATAAAAACAATACGAGTAATGATGAAATTTACTGAAAAGAAAAAGCCATATATATATATGGGGAGTTGCTACGGTCGCGTTATAGAACCATTTCGTCGGGGTTTTGTAACCGTTAGGTCAACTATTCCCAACGGTTACATGATGATCCAATGGTTACAAACCCCGACAGGATAGTTCTGTCACGGGACCATAGCATTTTCTCTATATATATATATATGTACATACAAATAGTGACTTCCACCTCACGATAGAGTAGACACCTCTCATATCCAACAAAAATTTCCATCTGATCTCTATTACTCTCACCATATCCTCATTTATTCTCTCCCATTCTCTGTCCTCACATTATTCATTTCCATTTCTTTTATTTCCTCTTAAATTTCCCACAACCATACTTCAAAAACCATAAAATTAGAAAGAAAACAAAAAAAATCCCATTTTTCATAATAATAATAATAAAAAAAGAATCTCACACCATCACACTCTCTCTAGAGAGAGAGCGCAAAAATCACAGCACAAAANNNNAAAAAAAAAAATGGCTGTATGCACACTCTACACACCACAATTGGGACTCAACCAAAACCACGTTTTCTTCTACACGAGCCGGCGACCATCCGGCTCCGGCGGCCGGACCAAGCCCCTACCCGCCGGAATCTCGTGTTCAGCCTACGACAAGACGGTGGTCATCGGCCTCGCCGCCGACTCGGGCTGCGGCAAGAGCACATTCATGCGGCGGTTGACGAGCGTTTTCGGTGGGGCAGCGGAGCCCCCGAAGGGCGGGAACCCGGACTCGAACACTCTGATCAGCGAAATGACGACGGTCATCTGCCTGGACGATTACCACTCGCTGGACCGGACGGGAAGAAAGGAGAAAGGGGTGACGGCGCTGGACCCGCGGGCCAACGATTTTGACCTCATGTACGAGCAGGTGAAGAAGGTCAAAGAAGGCGTTCCGGTTCAGAAGCCGATTTATAATCACGTCACCGGTTTGATTGACCCGCCCGAGCTGATTAAACCGCCCAAGATTTTCGTCATCGAGGGGCTGCACCCATTGTGAGTTTTTTCTTTCAGTTATCGACTGGAACTTGTTCGTGAACAATTCATTCAAAGATTTTAGGTTTATAACAACGATTTGAGCCTAATCAGTCTTTTATGAAGTTAAACAAATCGAGTCGAGCCGGTTCGTTTATTAAACGAGCACGTATCGGGTCGAATAAACCGGTTGAGAGGAGAGAAGGGCTATCTTTAAAAATTGTATGGTTGGGAAGGAATTTAGACTGTCCACGTCACCATATCTTTAGCTGGCAAATACGACGCGTTGCGAGCCATGCACACCTTATCATGTAATTTTGCAGACATTTGTCCGTGTTGCATTAAAATATATAAATGAAATAATAATAATAATAAAAACCTTCAATATATTTTAGATTTTAATGTTGATAATTATAAGTAATTTGGGTTGAATTTATTTTATTACATTTGTACTAAAAATACTATTAACTAGTCCTAAAAAATAGGTTTAAATGGTGTTTATTTATTTATTTATTTATTTTGAAAAATCATATACTACGTCCTATTTTAAGGCTATGTTTGGTAAAATTAGCTGATAAGCTAGCTGATAGCTGATAAGCTAGTTTATAACTTATATGTAATTTTTGAGCTTATAGCTTATAGCTTATGACTTATAACTGAAAAGCTAGCTTATATGATAAAAGGTGCTTGGTAAATTAGTTGATAAGCTAGCTAAAATAAAAAAATTCAACTAGCTTATTTGAAAAGCTACCTAAAGTAGCTTATGAAATAAGCTCGAGCTTTTTAAAAAAGGTCGTCCTATCAAACGAGGCTTATTTTAAACATGGAGCTTATAAGCTAACCAAATAAGCTAAAAGCTAGCTTATTTGGCTTACCAAACATACCCTAAATAGATGTCGTTTTGGGATGTTGCTCATCTATTAAGAATATTTTTTTTTTGTCAATAATAACCTTATTTAATGAAGATAGAGATGAATGTTTTGAGAAAAAGATGAAGAGTGATTATGAAAAGACGTGATGTATTTATTAGCTAAATGAGGGTAATAATGGAAAAATATGTACAAAAGATCCAAAACGACATTTATTTAGCAAATAGTTGATAAAGGTAGAATGACATTTAAAAAAAAAAATAGGAGGGAGTACTATTTTTTTTATTATTTAATTAATTTCCTTCAATATATATATGTAAAGGTACGATGCACGAGTGAGGGACCTTTTGGACTTCAGCATTTACTTGGACATCAGCAATGAAGTCAAATTCGCTTGGAAAATTCAGGTAAAATTAATTGGTCACTTTAATGAGTAATTACTAAACTGTAAAACTACACGTATATCTAACTGTTATACAATCATATTTTTCTAACAGATATGAATGCTTTTTTAATTGTTATACTTAAAAAAAAAACACTATAGACAAAACATGACATTTCATAACATAAGTATGCATTTTTATTATAAAATATGACGGTTGATAGTAATGATGGTGATGATAATAATTTTCGGGAGGTGTATTCAATTTGGATTATGACATTCTGACAGAGGGACATGGCCGAAAGAGGACATAGCCTCGAAAGCATCAAAGCCAGCATCGAAGCCCGAAAACCGGATTTCGACGCCTACATTGGTAAATTTATCTTCACTCTTTCGTCATTTACACTCGCAGAATTCTTCGAAATATTGAAAGAACTCGATTATACTCCCTCATGTTCATAATGTATGTCGTTTTTAAGAAATTTCACAATTATTAACAATGATTTTTTCTCCAATAATAACCCTCTTTAATGAAAATTAATAACGTGAAAATATGAAGGTAGAAAAATATAAAGTCGCAGTGTATTTATTAGCTAAATGAGAATAATAATAGAATAATATATACAAAAGATCCAAAACGTCATTTATTTGGTTAATGATTGATAAAACCAAAATGACATTTAAAAAGAATAGAAAGTAGTATTTGGTAACTACATACAATATTTTGTCGAACGGTTCCAAATTCATCACGCACAATATTTCTATAGTATGTCGCACAACTTTTACATGCATGCAAAATGCAGACCCACAGAAGCAATATGCGGATGCAGTCATAGAAGTATTGCCCACACGACTCATCCCGGACGACAATGAAGGCAAGTACTTGAGGGTGAGATTGATTCAGAAAGAAGGGGTTAAGTTCTTCAACCCGGTTTACTTATTTGACGAGGGCTCGACTATTTCATGGATACCGTGCGGCCGCAAGCTCACGTGCTCTTACCCGGGCATCACGTTTTCCTACGGTCCCGACACTTACTATGGCCATGAGGTACAAGAATATTGATTTTATAAACAAAAGTAGCAAATGCAAAATGAAATAAAACAATTTTTTGTTGAAGTATGAATAATAGTCAATGTATGGGCAAATTTTTTTGTGGTAATAATGTAATAACACTAAATAGCTAGGTAGATTTTAAAAAGATTAAAAGTAGTCACTTTTTTGTGGAAGTATGAAATAATAGTCATTTTGCCCTGATAAATGACACAGTTACTCTTATTACCAAAAGTGTTTATGGAAAACTGTTAGTAAGTATAATTGTGTCATTTCACCGAATATTCTATGGAACTATTGAATGGTTCTATTATGAAGCAATCTATCACTTAATATATTGACACCTGTAGTTATTGTAGGACACGTGTCAATACACTATTTGTGAATAAGTGTGGATGGCTCCATAAACCGTGTTCTGATGGCTCCATAGCAAAACTAGTCATTTCACATGGAAAAATGACTATTATTTCACACTTTCCACAAAAAGTTACTATATTTCATCTCTTGAAAAGAAGGTCACAAATTCTTAAAAAAGAAAAGTTAAAAAAATCACATTCTGCATCATGTTTTGTTACTTGTGTTGCAGGTCTCGGTGTTGGAAATGGACGGCCAATTTGATAGGCTCGACGAGCTCATATACGTCGAGAGCCACCTCAGCAACATCTCGACCAAATTTTATGGCGAAGTTACTCAGCAAATGCTGAAGCATGCGGATTTTCCGGGCAGCAACAATGGGACGGGCCTTTTCCAGACCATTATCGGGTTGAAGATCAGAGACCTTTACGAACAGCTCACGTCAAGCAAAACCGGGGCCCGTTTGGAGGCTACGAAGGCCTGATGAATTGTTTGTGTATGTACACAAATTCTCATGAGTTTGAGGAGCAAAAAAAACAAAA